GACCGACGGCAGAGGAGACGCCACTGAAGGCACGCAGCTATCCGACTACCGTCAATCGGGATAGGAAGAGCAGCGCACACACGACGCTTAGGGTCAGCCGTTACAATCGGGCCGTTTACTAACGCGCTACTTTGAACATGAAACGAATATGCACTGAAATCTCATCGTGCATGTCAGCTCAGGTCATACCAAGCATATCGGACTCCTCAGAGTGCCGGGATTTTCAGCTAAATCTACCATCTCTCCGTCCTCCGGTCGTCCCTGCCAGTTCCGGTGAACTGGTCCAGGACCCGTCCAGTGCCGTGGACCCCTAGATGTCCGGAGAGAGCCGCTGATGGCGCAATCCACTTTCTCGCCGCCGCGTAGTGACCGTTATGCAATTCTTATCTAATAATATCGCCACCTGTGTGAGCGGTGCCCAGTGAGCCGTCGCGGGATCAGGGAAGTGATCGGCGATCCGCCCTTCCTCCTATCACCGCTCCGTCGCGGGGGACGCCCGGGCCGGGTAAAAAGCCCCCGGCCACAGCGGATGGTGCGATCCACGAGTCACTGGCGACCGGCGCCATTCCAGCTCGCACGACAGGCGTATAACATCGCAAGGAAGGTGAAAAACACCGGCGAGGCCTTAAAATAGCAAGGATTACAATCATCAAAAATGACAAGAACATAGATTCTTCACACTTAATCGGGGTCTGGCAACAAAACGTTGTGGTTCCCATCTTGTGATCCGAAAGAAGCTTGCGTGCGATCAGCGACGTGGCATGTCATGCACGCTCGCGGCAGATTTCCGTTCATTTTTCGCCCTGGTCCACCGCAGACCGGCAACAGATGGATATTTGAGCCCGACGTCAGCTGCCTCGCCATGCACAGTGGGGAAGAGGCCGCTATACGGCGATTCCCTCATAAAACCGGCGCGTGCGTGCATGACACGCCACTTCGCACGCATACTTTTTTGGACCGAAAGATGGGAACCGCACGGTAACCGTGCTGTTGATGATTATATCATACCTTCCGGCTAACTATGAGGTGATTTGAAATGCCTCGCTAGTCGCTACCCCACCGAAGGTCAGTCCATTTAGGTACCGATACTCCCTTCGGTTCCAAACGCCCACCTGGAGCAGGCGCCAAGTGACCACTTGATCCAGTTTGAACTGCAGTCTCACCATTGCCGACTTGTAAATGCGTTACTGGCCGCTTACTCGGAAACCCGATCGCTCACTTGATATGCTCTGACCCACAGAGTAGTACGCTAATGTATTCAGCGGCGTGCCTGGAACATTCAACGCCCGAATACTCGACGGAAGAGCACGGAAGGACGGCGCTGACCGACTCACGGAGACGGAGACAGCTTATAGGGGCGAAGGCGGAGATTGAGGAGACACCAGCGGGAGACGGTGTAAACAAGGAGATGGAGACAAAACGGACAGAAACGTCCGCTTGATCGCCGAATGGAGATACACGTGTTAGCCCAGACGGGCGGCACAAAGAGAAAGGACAGTGTTACTAATGTTCATTGTTCTGGCTTCCTGTGACCCGGTGAGATGGTCCATTGTCCGCCAAATAGTGATGTAGGTATCGTGGAAGAAACGGCGACGAACGTGGGAAAGGACATAGTCTCGTAGGCATAAGGCAGGTTAAACTAGCTGACTAGGAACAATGAGTTATTACAAAAATATAAAGATAAGGGTTTTAAGTGTGAAAATATGTCACCTTCGAAAACACTTTACCAAAATGAAGCCATTACCTACAAAAAGTAAACCCTTTTTGTGACCAAGTCACCAAGTCATCAAGCTTGACACTCAGACAGAGACTTCCACTCGTAAGAATCACTTACTCAACTCCAGCACCCACGAATTATGTCATGGCTGGCCCGGTCCTCCAATTTCCACGTCTGTCTCTGAATTAAAGTCCAGCAGTGCCGATCTCCCAACCACAGAGTCGTGCGGCCGCGGGCGCTCCCCGCCCGGCCGCACCGTCCGCCGTTCGGGACGGACACGGCGCACCGCCGCACCAGGCCGCAAAAACGCGCCGCATTTGGCGGAACAGATGGCTGCAGCCCGCTCCGCGCCGCGGCGAAACACATGCCACCGCCGCAGCAGCAGCGCTGGTGGCGGTAGACGGTCCAGTTCTCAGTCCGCCCGGCACGGCAGCAGACCGCCGCGCCACAGACCGTCACCGGTCGCGACCCCAGCAGCGACACCGACCGCGGCACATGACAGTGTCGGTCGACAACCGAGAACAATACCCAGGTTTGCCGTCCCCCGGCCCCAAAGAATGAAAGGAAGCACCACACTGCACGCTCGGCAGCAGAGAGCGGCACGAGCGAGATTCGAAACACGTCGCTTCCGGGAGAGGTCGTCGAGCGGTCGCGGCTCGACACACCGTCTGGTGTCTGCCGCAGGTCGCAGAGGTCATCTGTGACTTCCTGCAGCTGCCGCACCTCCCGACACATCTCCGGCATCCCAGGCAGGTCACCAGGTCGTGCACGGTCACTGAACAGCTACAAACCACAGTGAGAGACACATGGCGCTCGACGGCTGCCGCGTGAAAGTGTGACTTCTCCCGAGTCGCGTGTTAGGTCGCTGTCTGGTCGTTTCGGTTTCAGAGACGGCTTAGAGACACCGCGACGGGCTGAGGGCAGGTCAGAACCTGCGGTCGCGTGTCGCAAACACTCTCACCCAGACGTGGCACGGGTCGGTCGAGCGGGTCAGTGAGAGACGTCGACGCTCCCACAAACACAGTAATCAGCACGCAGCTCGGTGCAGAGACCGACGACCATGCTTCAGCACCCGCTGGCAGCCCTGTCCATCCGACACCGCGGGAGGCAGCCGAGGGCGTTTTTCACCCTCACCGGCCGGCAGCTCCATCCGTCGGCCTCGGCACCGGCGCCGATAGTAGCACACGGGCAGCCAAGTGGCACGCGCCGCGGGTTCCCACACACTGCCGCGCCGGCTGACCGCCGCTTCCTCGACCGTTCCACCACACCAGGCGGTCTGTCTGTCGTCAGGGCAACGCCCAGCCTTCAAACCTTTGCTGACAGGTACCTTGCACTGCAATTATTGCATTTCCTGGCATTTTCAGCTTTTTTTAAATAGATGCATCCTTTACCTCAACGCCAACACAAATTTACGCAGCAGCAGAATAAAATGAAACGACATTCGCAAAAGACCCGAAGACACAAACGCTACATTTATCCCGTCTACCCATGAAAAGGAACTCGCAGCTGTACAATCCAACACGTGCAAAGAAAGCAAAGCACTGCGCTGAATATCTGCTTCATCTAGTGGTCGAATCATAATTGCAAAGAAGGCGGTGGAATACCAAAGCGCGTTTTTCCGTGTAAAGCCATCCGCATCTGATAACGAGAAGGGATTAAGCATCGTTCAAAGGATAAAACTCAGTTGTTCTCTGAGAGTGCCGAGAGCCGTATCGCGGCTAAATTTGGTCACTGACGTCACTCATACCTAACTCAGCACAAAGAACCATTCAGTACCACGCGCCAAGTGGGCGCTCCTGCTCTCGGGTCGACTGGTGAGGCAATCATCTGAATTAGCTACCCGTTCACGCCCATCGCTTTTTGCGACCAAAACGTGACTGAGAGCTGTTCTGCAGGCTTCTCCACGCGCTCCCGTTCACATTTCAGGCGCCGTTTCACAATGCAGCGCCGCGTACCAACGGAGACTGGAATAAGTCGGCCCGTGGTGCTCAGTCCGGCACGCCACTTGACCTGCAATGACCTGCCTGGCCGGTAGTCACCAGCCGCTACCGTGCTGGAAGCTGTGTGGATCGTCGTTCACACGCTACTATGCCGCATGAAGTCGTGAACTGTCGCCATGACATGAACTGACAAAACCGAGACGTTGTAACGTTCCAACGGATACCGGTGTTACAACTCAACTTCGTTTGGTCAAGAATTCACGGTCTCGACACTGGACGGATAGCCGCACAGTTACAACGTGTTTACTTCCTGCTTATTTCAGCTCATCTGCATGCACCGACGGCTCGGTTAGAACGTGCCAGGTTGGGGCCACAGTGCATTATACAGAGGCCACCTTTCGACCACTAGCCGAAGATAAACGGTAAACGGTAAACGGTCAGCGGTTAGCGGTCAGCGGCCACTGACCGGTTGGCTACGGCGTACCCATCGACTCTGCTACTGCCTCAGCACGACTCCAAACGGTGCAGTTGATCAACATAGTAAGAAGAGAAACTCCAGTGATAAGCACATTTAGAGGTGGCGGCTTTTGATACGTGCAAGGAATATGCAACTGGTTTAGAGCATTACTCTGCAAGTGTCAGCAGCCTTGGGGAGGCTGCATCAAACAAACAATAATTCAGTACATATATGGCCTTGGCGGAAAAGCTGACTTGTTCCGCCTAGATGTTGTGCTCTAAGCGACCTTGGGGTCCACTTAATTCAACACTGTCACCGTATCTGCACATTCCGTCGCACTTGTGATGGCGGACCATGCTGATAGGGTTTATGAGTTTATCACAAAGAATCTGTGAAGGAGTCGCTATCGTCTGTTGAACTGTGGCACCCTTTCCGCTGCAGTGAGTGCCTCGCCGGTTATCAGGTGACCCCCCGCGACATCCTCCTATCAGGGCGTCCCCACGGAGTTCGGCTGTCAGCCCCGAAGTTCGGCCGATTGGGAGATCCGCCCGGCCGCAGATAAGGCCCGCCTCGACCGATGATGGATAGTCGCTCACCCACTTACAGACATGATACCATCAGGTGTTGTTCACAGTACGAATAGGCCTCCTAAATAACTCCGGTGACACTGTCACCTCTAGGGAAGCGCAGGTCCTCGGCGACGGCCGACGAGATGACAAACCAAATGACTGGTGTCACTTCAAATGACATCCAAAACGTCTTCAGCTTTCTTGTGAGTGAAACGACTGTGACCGGCTCCGGTATGCCAGTTGATGCGCCCGTAATCCCAATTCCCAAGGCAAACTGAAGTAAACCCCGAGCCGGACTTTCGAGTTGCTCGACTCACCTTCCTCGTCTTTGGCTTCTTCATGAGACTAGATTTGCCGTCGATGATGATGTCGGCGTTGGTGAAGACCACGTTGCACGGTGAGGGTGGGCCGCACACCAGCGTCGAGGCTAGGTCATCGTCGCACGTTTGACCCGGGTCAAAGCCTGGCAAGATGACGTAGCCCGAATCGATTTGCTGCAACAAAAGGGTTATGAATTAGATCGAATTGTGCGGTGCAAATGGTATTGGCACGTCTATGTGCTAAGCACGGCTCAGCAGGAATGTAATTATTGGCATTTGAAGGGGTCTATTGCACTCCATATGCAGTCGCTTACAATATTGGTATAGGGATTATGTTGATATAAAATAATTAGGATTGGGTATTATCAGCGCTTCCTAAAAGGGCGAGGGGCAGAACACGCGGAAACATACAGATGAGCCTATTTCCGCTTAAGTGCGAGGCTGCCTGTTCACGGCATTTCCTACTGCTATTCGAGTTCAACTCGAATCATCGTTGAACCGTGAAAATGTCACTTCCTCACAGACGTCCACTGCAACCTTCAGTGACTACCCAGACCACGATTATAGGGTTTTCTAGCATACCAATCCTAGGAGTTCACCGCCCGGGGAAGGTCATCCACCACGTCCCTGTGGCTAGCCAGCTGATCGCTTCCGGGCACCGCGCCGGCAGAGCGGAACATTTCCGCGGGCGGACTCCGCGGTGGGCGGAGGCGGCTACCGCATGCTATCCCATTTGTTCCGATCTAGTCTCTACTGCTGCCACCTCGGGCCTGTCAGATCTAACTAGCGGCGCAGTGGTTAGCTCGGGTAGTGCCTCAAGGCGGCAGGAATCGGCCGCCAGCCCGGCCTGGCCCATTTCCAGTCGATATGGGCCACGCCGCGCCGCCGCCGTGGGCGCCAGGTGCTCCCAATGATGGTTCGACTCGCTCCTTGTATCGGCAGGCCTAAGGCAGCCGTCCGAATGGCCGGCCTCGTTCCGATGTGGCCAAACAATCCGCGCGCTATACGTGCAGGGAAAGGCGCCCCGGCAGAAAAACGGACAGCGATTTAGCAGGCATGTAGCGGTGGACGAGCGCTACGAAAAATTGAAAACCACATGAATGATCCTGCAAGCCTCTTTTGAGCACATGACCGGCCTATTTAGGTAATCTGCAGTTGCAGCCAGTTCGGTGGCTTCCAGCTTATTTACCTTGTGAACCCCAACACCAACACCCGGGTGGAATGTGACAAGGCCACGCTGCACAGTTCGCCGAAACAAGTCGGAGTCCTGCTAGAGAAAGGAGTCGGCGAAACAGGCTGAAGGTCGCGTGACATCCACACGTCGCTATTCAACAGTCGCATCAGGACAGGAGATATCCGGCACATCGGCAAACAAACGTATCACATAGCGAACTGAAGCGAACTGAAGCAAGCAGTGAAATAACTACAGCATCCCTTTACGACATTCCCTAATTGGCTGACGCTGTAATGATGAACAGACATCCGAAGAATCGGCACCCAGCTCAGACGGCTCACCGTTAGAGACGTGTTTGATGTGATCGTATACCGTTACCGTACCGAATGCCACAACTGCCTATGTGTCTACAACTCGTCTTGCACTGCGCAGGCCTGGTGCACAAAGTGCTACTTGCATGCCTCGGAGCTATTTGTGAACAAAGGCAACGAACGTTGGCCCGGTTATTGTCATCACGAACGGCAAACTTCGCGCTCCTACCCACGCGTCAGTCTGCTCAGACACGTGATCTTACGTTTACAGCTACACGTGATTTGGGTCCCTTTATCCTCGTCAGACTAGGATGAAAACCAAACAAGACGTCCCTGACACAATGTCGTGTCATATCATATGCAGATAACCTGGGCACATCTCCCTCTCTTTTTAGAATTAAGTTCGCGTACCGGTATAAACCACGTGAGATATAGCCTGATCCCGGCTAGACCGTCATGCAACACAGGCGGTGCTCTGATCTGATGACGTCAAAGACCAAACTAACGGGCTCAGACAGAGCTATCTGGTGCAGCCGGACAAGATTCGTCACACGTCAGTGCTGGACTGGATGAAGCAAACAGGCGTGGGTGGCCCGGGAGTCTGAATTCGGGACGTGGTGACCAACGATAGGGCCGACGGGTGCCTCAGCACAATTTATCGTCTCAAACTAAAAAAGTATCTTCATTCTACAATTTGGTAACTGACGCGGCTAGGTCGACTGCATCCAAATTATGAGGCATGGAAAACAAAGTGTCGATAGAACTGAAGAATACCTACAAAGACGTCCTTTAACCCCCTACCCCTCCCATCCCCACCCCTATTAACCCCGGCCGTCCATGACGAGCCGGACTTTTTGCAGCGTTCCCCTCCAGGCCGTCATCGGGGGGTGGTGGTTTTTGTTAGATTGGTCTCGGCCGACCAGAGTTCTCAGTTCTCAGTGATGTTCTGTCTGGGCGGGCGCCGTCCTGGCGGCCACAGTGATAGTGACTGAGTCACTGCCGACTCGAGGGACTCACGACTGAGTCATTGGACCAGATCGTTCAGCGATATGAATAAGTTAGACGGGTGACAAACTAGACGGAAAATTGCGCCGGAAAGCCTGTTATCGAATAGCAAAGTGACCGGATTACGTTGTGAACTATAACAAATATATCAGCAGGGCATCTTCTAGTGCTGTCACTAAAACGACACAGAGAAAGTGAACATACGGTACACAATGAGCGATATATTCCCGAAAAACATGCATCATGACACCATCCGCCGGGATTCTCACACCGCTAGCATATATCGTGTCAGAATTGCCACAAAAACTGGACATCGGCGCCCTTGTGTTGATTTACGTCTGCTGTCTGCTGGTTTTTCAGCACCGGTTGGGTCATCCGGAACCCATAACTCGTGGCAGCGCCACACGCCTCTGTTTATCTGTTCAAGCCGTGTGACGACTGGGTTTGTTTGACAGATCACTGCAGCGACCCGCCCTTCGACATCCATTAGATTTCCGTAAACACACGCGGCCGACCAGACCTGGACTCGACACAGGGACTGCCATGGGTTGGAACTGATTGGAACGGTTTGCCACATCGGGGCAAAGCCCACAGGTGCGCAGGGCAAACACAGCGGCGTGATAGCCGGTATCGGGCCGGCGCTGCGCGGCAAATACAGAGCTGCTATCGGGCGGCCTAAGCCGGCTGAGCCATATACCCTGGCTGAGCCCGCTCAACACCAGCGGGTGACAAAGGCGCCCACAGTCAGCAGGGCAACAACCCACATTGTTAATTTCGTGAATACGACTTCTGCGTATCCAAGAAAGATCGCGCTAAATCACCGTCTGGAGATCAGACACGTTACGGCTAGTTATTTATACGGCCAATAACAGTCCTGGGAAACGGCCCTAGTTATTAGGCTCTTGAGATGTAAATGCTCAGAAAACCATCGAACCTATCTCAGGACCTCAAAATCACCCAAAACCGCTGCCGTACAGCAGCCACCGTGCCTGCCGGGTCCGCCCCGCCGTCTATCCAGACGCAGACACGCGGCAGCCGCTCACAAAGACGGACCGACCCACGTGTCTCCGAGCTGGCCCGGCCGCCTGCCAGTGATGTCACCACCCTTCCGCCTCCGCCGCCCGTCCCGCTTCCGTCGCGCGAGCGCACAGATGACCGATTGTGAAAGGCCGCCTGCTTGAACCGGGCCGAGGGTCGCCGCTCCTCCGGCCGGTGGCAATTGGGGTCATCCGCCGGGCGGCGGCGGCGGCGGGGGCGGCCGCAAGGCGGCACGGCGCCCGTCCTGCAGCGCCGTGACGACCCGTGACGACCGTGACGGTCGGTGAGGGATCCGTGGCGTGACCTGAGTGGGGGAAGTTGCGCAGTTTCCCGCCGGCAGCGCGCGGCGTGGCCGTGTTTTCCACAGATATGTGAACATGTAGAGCAGAAGGAGGCATCTGCCGGGGGCCGGGGGCTACAGTAGTTTGGGCGGGTACCGCCGGAGTTTGGACGGTAAACAGGGTCAGAGAGGAGACGGGGCGGCCACAGAGACAACAGAGAGACAAAGTGCGGCTCAGGTGCGCTCAGAGAGACGAATATAATTTAAATTCTGGAGAGAAACGGATAAGCAGGCCACCGGGGGAGAAAACGCGACGAGGATGCAACAAGCGTGCAAAGAAGAATCGTGGGCACTTCCTCATAAACAAACAATGCTGAATGAAGCTCGAAAATAAGAGAACGAGACTGCGAAGCTAACAAGCAGTCTTGAATGCTAATAAGACAACAAAAAGACGAAAACGTTTCCTTGGCGCTATCAGACGTTGCCCGGACGTTGTCCATGCAGCGAGGCCACTACTGGAAGTCCCGACTCGCCTTGGTCAAAGCTCCTCAGTCCGTGTGCCCCGACAGTGGCCGGATTTGGTGGCGCGACCACTGTCGCATCCAGCCCACCCCACCCCATTTCCGGTCAGCCAGCCGGCCCTGACAGCCCGGCTGTCCGTGTCGGCCCGACACTCCGCCACCGAGGACTTCAGCGTGGACAGTCAGCCGTCACGGCCGCCGAAGTTGGCCGGTCTCACTGGCTATCAGAGAGTTACAGCGACAGCCGTCTCTGCGCGCCGGGTCGCCGGGTCTGTGTCGTCCTTTATGTGGGTGGTGTTCTTTGTTAGTTGGCGGTGCCTCCCACACAGCGGCAGTGTTCCGGCCACTGCCGACCCCACCCCGCGTCCTCTGGCGCGGCGGCCCTGCCCTGTCCTCTATCAGCCCGTCCAGCCCGCACGAGCGGGAGGTGGAACAATGCTGAGCGGCGCGGCAGACCACTGAATGGACGGACAGCTGTGTTTGGCGGGGAATATGACTCAGCGGCATGTCGACAGTGGAAATGAAGGATGGTACGATCTGCCTCGTTTTGCACTCGTGCAGCCCTAAATCATAGCAAGTGAAATATATATGGCTATCGAAGTTTTTATTTGAAGCTCGGGTGATCTTGAAGAACCCACTCGGGTAATAAGAAACTATATCGAACTTTAAGCGAAAACCGTTTTCTTTTTTCACTTGGAAACCAATTAAGTCAGGAGCCACCGCAAACCATGACGGATGCCCGGCGAATTACACCCACCAGGCTCTGTTCTACAGCGAGTCCCGTCGAGTCGGGCCGGATCGACCCATTAAAACAGAACACCACGCCCGCCCTAACAGCCTGTCGG